TGGTCGTGAAGATACGTCGGGACATTCGAAAAAAGTCGAATCCTTTAGAAAAGTTGGATAGCTACTCGGAAGCCGTTATGAAAAATGGAGCGCTCCTTTCGGTATAATATATTTTGAGCCGGTCACTTTTGATTCTTTTCCATCAATTTTAACCCACCGCGTACGTACGAACGCGCACGTTAATCGTGCATTTACTGTTCGTACGATGCTCGACGAGCATATAAAACGAGATAGAAAAATCGGAGAAAAGTCAACGAACATAGAAATATCAATTACTTTTTTGTTTTCGAATTACAGTGTTTATAAATGATTAGTTTTGCTAGATAACGGCGGAGCCAAAGAATAGATTCATTTAAAGCAAAGCTGTTTGTTATCCAGTGTGTTGCGTGTACGATGGCAAGTTTGGAAGAAAGTATGATCAAAGTACTATCGAAGTAATCTGCGATTGCACGTCCCATATTACTTGGAAAGCTCTTGCGCGCAGCTTCCGAAAACTTTGCGGACGAACGTTTGAAGTTCGGATTGGAGTTTCAAGTGAACTCGGGGGTTCATCCCAATCGCTTATCGATGAAACACAGGTTCGAGTTCTAACTCGGAGATGTGGCGACATGTAGGAAATGTTCATCGGTTAGAGAAAATATCGGCGAATTGATTTTTCGCTGGTGAAAACTCAGGTTCTTTAAACGCTGCTGATTTCTATCGACGATTTCTATCGAATGAAAGGGATACCGATAAAAAGAACGCCTATCTACTTCATTTGTAACTCGTTAGCCGGTTTGTACACGTAATTTATTTATTCTACGCGATCAATCACTTTGTTATTAATTTTAGTCGAAACACATTTGAAATTCTAGTTTCGAACGTTTGTTACGCTACAAATAACGACTACAATTTGCATAAATCTCATCAACCAGTTACGTGGTTTCATGTCACGTGTAAATAGCTCTCCGAACTCTTACTAATTTCAAATAACTCAATTATTATCAAAGTTTATTTATTTTATTATGGAAAGCGAGTAATATATATATATATATATATATATATATATATTCTTTTTTCCTTTAGGGGATTTTCGACTTCTTATCGAAGCTCTTCGATTCGTCAAGCACTCCTTTTACCTCGATTTTTGAAAATCCACCATCTTTCACGAAATGCTTCACGGAGTAATTCAAGAATTTTATATTCAGTTCGTCGGTTTCTGTTTACTTTAAACCTCCAGGTAGCTTACCTAAAAAGGAATTGCATGAAAAATTTCGTTCGCGCTCCTTGTCTGATCCTTTGTTACTCTATATTTTATTTTATTTATCGTTAATGATCGTTTCGCAAGAACTGTTGAAATTTTTCGTTCGTAATGGAGAGAATTGAACGTACTTGTACTCTTCGTGCGAGAGATGATTCGTCAAAGAACATAGTTGTGCTTGGAAACAGTCGTTTCAATGCAAAAGTTAATTATGAAATTGTATTCTGAAGAAAAAATTTGTTTCCAAAGTGGACGGAATTGTTGACGGAACTTGTTTCACCGTGCAAGAGATTATAAACAATTATAGGTACAAAGGAATAGTTCGTGATAAACGTGGACGTGGAAGAAAAAAATTATTATTCGAACGGAGTAGAATATTTAATTTCTTTCTCATAAAACACGATATTAAAAAAATTGATATTTTCTTTCCTTTATTAAATCGCGTAATTTCGAATTAACTTCTTGCTGCTGAACAAACGTATCGTTTCCTACGTAAAATCGATAGAACGATATCATCCTTTCTACCATTATTATCTCTTATTTGTACACTTGGCAGATATTTGAGATATTGAAAGTTTTTCGCTTACTTCCAACGATCGCTCGATATCGCCACGTCATTTCTTCTCTTTGCAGAATCACCGTTTACTCATTATTACCTTTAAATTTAGAAACTGAGAGTACTAGTCTTCTGTTAATTGTTACTCGATTTCTATCGTAATGGTTCATCTTACGATGCGAAATAATTTTATCCGAAAACGGAAACGTATGTTACGAATTATTGTCAAGAATCGTCGAAATTTGATCAATGGTGTTTAATCGATTATACGAGGAAAACGCGTATTCACGATCTATCGCTTTTATCAGTACCGTGGAACTTATTTTTAGACCGATATTAATTATAAAAAATAAATGCACTGTCCGGTTGAACGAATATCGATTATAGTAATGGTAAATAGAGAAGTATAGTATAAATAGACAAAGAACGTGGAAAAGCGATTAACATATCGTGCTTTGAGCTTCAATAGATTATTTTGCAGTCTCGTTGTTTATGGAAATTGTAATTTTCGTTTATATAAATTCTTTCGAGCGCAAGTATTTTGCACTTCAATTTCTTTATAATGCAATGTATGTATATTTTACATAATTATTACGTCATTTATACATTTTTAAGAAATATTTACAAAATACTTTTTTGAGGCTGGTATGCCGATATATTTGTTAGTCGAAGCAGTTGCTTTTGTGTTATACATGCATCGCAGTATTTTAATTATATCGGCTTAATTTGCGACACTGCAAGACGTATAATTCTCTGCGAACAACTGACGATTAATAATTTTCACTTCACATAACATTCATTGTTACATATTATAATAGGATCGACGTAATTCATCTCGGTTTGCGGAAAGAGCAAGCAAACATTGTAACTCCAATGAATACCGAGTTTCTCGAGAACCAGAAACTTCTGAGTTTGACGAAGATAAAATCTCTATTATCATTTTAGCGGATTTGAAATAAAAATAGATAAACATTTCATTGTCTTTTAGACAATATCGTCTTCCTGCGATAAAAATAATAAATTTCATAAACAAGTTTATTTCGAATATCATCATTAGTAGCATTTAGAATCAAAACTTGAATTAGATACAAAATTATAAAGCATTACCAATATTCGGAATTAAAATTAGAATTAGACACAAGATTATAAAGTATCGGTATTGTTTGCAATCAAAACTAAAATCAGATATAAAGTTATAAACGAAACGATACAGTTTTATATCTTTACTTATTTATCTTTATACCGAGTGATTTTCGTATTAATTACAACGTTAATAGCGATAGTAAATAAAATATAGAATAGTATTCTATAATGGTAAAAGAAGTATAAATTTCTATACTTTCATAACGTATATATATATTATTTATCTCTGTGCTTTGCTTTACGAGATTACTTTATTTCTACGGATTGCTCTTACATTATAAATAGACAATTAATTAGTAATTTAGAACAGAAATTACATGCTCTTACTTCTTTCTTATCAATCATGGAATTTAAATTTTGCGGGAATTCGTATTCAAAATTGCGAGGGAAGTGATTGGCGCCAATCGTTAGTTCCATCCTATACCAAGCGCGGCGCTGAAGTCAGTCTGCTCACCGGAGAGAAGCGTCACATTTCGCGCGCGTTGTGATGCTGTCATATTTTTGCGGTTTTTTAGTGTAAAGTATTCTTTTCGCGCGTTCATTGTGCCTTCGGTGGTTTATAAGAGGATCCATCTTCAACACGTATCACGATATCATCGGTAAATCATTTATTTATCTTTTAATTTAGTGTCCCATGTCAGCTTGGATATCAGACGCAATAAAGTTTCGTAGCTCTTACAATTTGAAAAATGGTGTGCTGTAATTGCAACGGTAATAAATTATAACTGGCAGTTACGTCAAAGATTCATAAGTGTCTGTCAGTTTGTTAATAATAATGAGGTAATAAGCTACATCGACGTATTTGTTAATTTGTCAAATGGCAAATGTATATAAAAGTTTTGAAATATTTTCTATAGTAATACAAACGCATGTTCATTTTTCAGTGTTACCACTACTCCGTGTATACGTTTATATATTCGTATATACGATTTTTAAAGTAAGTTAACCTCAATCATTAAAATGTTCGTTTACGAGAGAGAATTTATTTTAATTGTGATCATAGTTTCTTTAATTTAATCTGAAATTTGTAATTAGAGGTTAATAATTGTTACAGGCATATTGTTTCGTGTTACAAATTGAGAAGCTCGAAGGACAGTAGTGCAAGTGACGAATAATTTGAGAGAATTATTGGTAAGTTACATTTTAATAGAAATCAGTATGCTTATAGATGTTAATTTTCTAACCCTATGTCGAACTAAACTTGAAAAAATATATATTTTCAGCAAATGTCACTTGTCTTTAGATTTTCACGTATATATAATATACATATAATCATAACGATGACGTGTCTCGTTACAGCGTTAACGAAATTGGGAAACATTTCAATACGATATGAATATAAAAGTTTTTTATGGTACCTGTTCAAATACTTTCGCGAATAGACACACAAAAATTACTGTGTAGCAAATTTTCTGTTATTAGATCATAGGTTGACATATTATTACTTCGTTAAAAGAATTGTGCATTTCCACTTACTTTCGTGATTCAATATATGTTAATTATTTCATCTTCATCTTCTACTAAAGGATAATTTACAGAATTTTCGTTATTAACAATTTTTTTTATTTATTTTATATTTGAACGAACCTTAATAGAGTACCCTTTGATATACAGAATAACGAAAGTAGAGGGAAGATTAATATTAACATATATATAGAGATAGAAGCATAAAAATAAATTAAAGTAAAATTGGTAAAATTTGTAAAACAATACATTTACGATGCATTTTCATGTACGTTCGTGAGTCGATGTATGCTAATACAATACTACAGCCAATCATACAACCCCCTTACGATAATTCTGCGTCGATGAACAGGACACGTAACATCAATGGAAAGATCGATGAGCAACGGGACGCGTGATCGACGAATCGTTGTTGGGTTGAACATCAAACTGCATCGGGTACCACTGTCTACAGGTATACGTATAGCACTCAGGGATCATCGCGACGAGGAGACGCTCGCTGGCGTACGTTGGTATTGGTTGGTATCGGTGCGACACAGGGGCCAAGGGTTCTAAGGGGGTTGATGCGTCGGCGTGTTGCGCCGTAGCTTTTGCCGCGGCGCCCGGCAGTCCGTAGGCGAAGTCCTAACGAGTAGCCGGCGAGCGAGCCGTTTCTCCAAAAAACTTCCCCTCGATTACATTGCGCTGAGATTTCCGTGTCCATCTTTCGAATTTTCGGCTCCTCGACCCGCGTGGTTTCTTTACTCGTCGCGTTTTCGCCGTTCGTTTTATGCTTCCCTCGTAAACTCGCCGTAGGCTGTTTCGTTCGAACTGTTTGGATAAGTTCGAAGTAAGAGATCGAACAAGTTAATCGATAGTGAGATTAACTTTTTATTTTACGAAATACGTACGATCGATTTATGGGTCGAGGAAGGTATTCACGAAGTGCGAACAGTGTTTGTATTGACGAATATGGAAAATTTTGATGATATGTGACGAGATTCTGTCGATCGTGCGACAAAAAGTAAATGACCCGATTTTCGACTGACAAGTCGTAAGACGGATGTACCTTGGTGGAATGTATCAGTGAGGAACGATAGGTGTTGTGATTTCGAAGAGTGTACAAAATTCACGATTCGTGATTCTCGAGACTAGTGATCGAATCAAACTCCTCGAAAGGATCTCGTATGCGTGTAAGTTGAGTCGAAGTTCGAAACGTAATTAAAATTCTGTAAGAAGTAAAAAGAAAGAACGTAATTGTATCTAATTATGTCATCGAATGATTCTTTCGAAAGAACGTCAAACGTTCTCACAAATTGTTTCTGAGATATTTCAAACTCGTTTCATTTGCCCAGGACTTTCGTCAAGTCAAAAATTTAAGAAATTCCCAGTCGATTTGCTTTTCTTCGCGGTCATTCGTGTGATCTACTGTTGGATTTTAATTGTCCACAATTAAAAGACTCGCGATACTTGAATGAGAGTGATACTTTTAAGGGTAGAAATACAGTGGCTGATTAAAGTATTTGAATAATCATAGAAAACTTTTTATGAATACATTGTGTGTATTATGCGAGACAGTTTTGAAATTCCATTAACGCTGTAGCATTACAACAATTACATTTGACAAGGAATTGCATTTTCTATTTGCATAGAAACTAAGTAAGTGTTCGCTCTCGTTATGCATTCAAAAACGACAATTTTCAGTACAAAGTTTGTAACAAAAGATATATCAAAATATTGCTTTAAATAAAAATTTATTTGAATAAAATTTTACAAAGTTTCGTATTCGTACGCGTAACACGTTCATCAAAATTTGCTACGTTAAGAGTTCGAATACTTTCGTGAGTCGTTGTACGTGTAAACCAAAATTCTCGAAATCTGCACCCACGCCGTTGTATGAATCATCGTGGATGGTTTAGCGAGACGATTCGAAGATGACGAGCTCGATAATGGACGTCGATTATAAACTTTGGTCCGTGGAAAACTGGGCCACATCCAGTCCAGCTTTCCGTTATCTCGTGATTCGTGGATCGTGCACGAGCAAAATAGAAAGGCAATATAGTGGATGAAAAAAAGCGCGTCGGGAAGAATGGGGTAACCGAGGGAAAATAAAGGAGCGAAGGGTGGGAGGAGGTTGTACGGAGAAAGAGAGCGAACCCGGAAAACCGGGAAACACCGAACAATACCAATTGCGACAAATTACACGTTGCTTTATCCGGTAACGCCGGCCCGCGATTAAAAGGGAACACAGAACGACGTGGCATCGAATACTACGAACCGTGATTCACCCCATTTTCTTTCTCTTTCTTCTTTTCTTCTATTTTACTTTCTATCTTTTTCATTTTCTTTGTTTCCCCGTTCTTGTTTTCTTCGTCCGTCATTTTTGATCAATCGAACGAAGGGGAAATTGCCGCTCCACCGAAAGTTATTGAGGTTTCCCTATGAAAATTTAATCAGTGGGTTTTTTCAAAGCTCGTTCGTTTCCCTTTTTGCTTTTACTTCTCTTCTTTTATCGCGTTTTCCGTTGTTTTCGTTTTCTTTCTTTCGTGGTTGTTTGACTTGTTCCACTTTCGATCTATGCAACAAAGGGTAAATTGTTATTCGACTAAAAGTTATCGAGATTCTCCTATAGAAATTCAATTAACGCACTGTTTAGCGTAGGTACCGATCATTGTATTTCCTTTTCCGCTATGTTTCCCTGTATTTTTTCCCTTTTCTTTTATGTTTCTTTGTTACTTGTTTCTCCGTTTGTGATTTTTGATTTCCGTTCAATGAAAGAGAAACTGCGCCAGCCGACTAAGCATTATTGGATTTTTCGTATGGAGGTTTAATTAACGCGTGGTTTACACTTTATATATTGGCTTCGCCGTTTTGATGGCCGAAGCAAATTAGATTGGTACGGAATCAAACGAAGTTGAGATACGTGATTCGAATGGTGTGCTTTGACTACAGCACATTTTTGTATCTAGACGATCCACGTGTCTTTGATTCGTTGAGAAGAATCGAGAAGAAGAAAGTTTTGCTTAAAATTAACGTCTCGCTTGTCCATATTGCTTTCTGTTATATCTTTATCGTTATTTCTTTCACAGGATTACAATGTCCCGATTTCATACACATATCGCATACGATGTTCAATACAGTGCAACAAAATATTGCTTTCTGTTTGACAACGAATATCATTAAAATTTTCATCGAACTGTTAATCCGAGGATTTAGAGATTCGATCGAGTATCACTTTCTACTAATTGTGAGAACGAACTTTGCGCTTCGTACTGAAACAGTCGAGCATTACACGGTTATATTTTAACGGGCTCCGTTACGAGAGATTCGCTTGAAATGTCGCAGCTGTCTTGCATCGGAAGAATGTCTTCGCTTTCGAAACAAAATGCCGGGACTTTGTTACTTCCGGAATATTCTCGTTTAATTCTGCCGTGTTGTTTGCGTATTTTTTTAACGATTACAGAATATCCAACGTTTCAACAAAATGTGAAAAAATTCTTATTAGCGTGCACGATTTTTCTCGCAATGTTACGTTAGACATCGTATACACCCTTTTCACTTGCTAAAATAAGAGCACGATCGAAATATAAAAATTCGAAATATAAATAAATCGAAGTTTCTTTACCGAAGATCACTTTCCATTATGGAAAGCTCTGGCTAAGCGAAAGCGAGAAAAATCGGATTTCGTATTTACTTTTCTTCGTATTTTCCTATTTTCCATTTCTGCCGATAGGAGCATTTCGAACACCTGTGATTGCAACGTATACTAATTTTTTTTCCATTGGTTCTTACTTCCAAACACGAGGTATCGTTTTTATCGGAATACTTCGGTGGAAATGTGATTCTTTTCTACTATACAACTGTCGACCGTCAATTTTAATTCAACTATATTTCGACGATATTTGTTTTCATGTTTTCGTTCTTTCAACATCCTATTTTACGTTAAATCCGTACGTTGAGATACAATTTTTTAATAAAAAATTATTTTTCGAAATTGTATTGGAATACCTCCTATCTGTTACTCCTTTGTTCTATTCATTTGCATTGATTTTGGTCAATTTTAACTGCACGTAGGAATGATAAGGAATATCAATGATTTCTGGTCGATATCGGTGGCAATCGGTTTAATCCCAGTGTATTCGATCCATTCGCAACGCGATATCGTTTCCAGCGTTACGGAGATCGTGTCGACACGTGTGCCGCGCACGTTTAGCCGTACTTGTAATCCGACAACGAAACTGGCGTTTCGCGAAATTTATATGATCCGCGGAAGATTTCTCCTAATCTCTCGGTGTTTCGGGCTTGTTTCGATATACACGCTATTTTCGTCGCGGGTATAATGTACAGTATGTGGCGTAGCATGGAGGGCCAAATGAATCGATGCTTCCTGCTTGAACAGCTTCGATGGGTCAATAATTGAAAGTGCAAGCATAGAAAGATATTTATTTCATTTCTCCATTTGTTGCATGGAATAGATAGCCTGCAATGCCGTGTTTTCACAGTTCGATTTATTATGTAAATTTGACGAAAATAAAGATAAAGATGACGGTTGTAAATTAGGTGAAATATTGGATTAAACTTTACTGTAACGGTTGAGAAGTCGAGAAATTGATTGGAACGCAAAGAAACATCCTTGAATCGTTTCGCTGAATTTTTCAGTCGTATTCTGTCCGATATAGTTGACACGATGGTTTACGGTTTCTCTATGGTCTCGATCAAATAATTTAATAATTGAAGATATAAAGATACGTAAATTTACTTTTTTCTCCATTTATCGATCCTATTGTACATTTAATATTACTTCTAAATAGCATTTTCTATATGATTAAGATTTATAATTTATTCAATTATTAATTTTCCTTTAAAAACTTTTAGTTCCATTTAGTTCCATTAAATTCTCTAAAATTTTCTCAGTTATAATCTAAATTATATAAGTCTTGCTGTCTTACTAATATTCCTAAATTCCAAGAAATTTGACAAAACTTTAATCACGGTCTTAGAAATATTCTTCGAGCAGATCGGATTACTGGTAATTGTATCTCAATAATTGTAGGCAATTGTGTATACATATGTGCAACAATTATTTAGTATAATCCATGCTAATCCTATCGAATTATCATCTAAGACAGACTTGCTTGTTATATATACAATATATGGCTTATTCGTATATTCCAAGAATTGCGTAAAGATTTAATGGGACTCAGGGAAATACGATGAAGCGCGATCAGTCGCTTCCTATCCTGCATATACGCGCGTATATGTACATAGGATATGCATATCTATGTTTCAAGCATTTCTGGTTCCACGATTGTTCTTTCCATTCTCGTCACATTGGACTCGATTTATTCATACAACAGACGTGTAATCATTTTTCTGTTTCGCATTATTCTTATTCATATTTTCCTTCGATATTCCACTACCTCGCCTACCTCCTAGATAGCTTTTCTTTCTCCCTCGATATTAGCCTATGAAAATTTCAAAGAATTAATTTTATTTTATTTCGTTCATCTTGTACGTTATTCCCACCGCAAAACTTATTTCCCTACCCTATAATTATAGTCCTGCTCAGAGAATCGATATATTGGGTTGGCAACTAAGTGGTTGCGGATTTTGTCAATACCACCTAATGACAAAATCCGCAACCACTTAGTTGCCAACTCAATACATTACATACACACACACGACATACGTACGAAAATTGATGTTAATTTATACTTTCATAAAGGATATAAACTAACATACACGAAGATGGTACCCCGCTGGGTGTAGCCACCCACATGATAATCAAACAGCTAAAAAATTCTACCAAATGTCCAAATTGGACAAACTGTGAATGTGAAATATTAAATAAAAAAAAAAATTTATACTTTAATTACCAAAACATGAAAAATGCAACGTATCGTATTTTTCTCCTTGGTCTTTGATTTTATTCGCACGTCTCCCGAATATATCGACTATTTTCAAATTTTCTATTTCTTCTCATTGAAAACGCGATAAATCCTGTTGTACAGTTCTACCTCTTTCATTTCCTTCTTCCTTTTTTTTTTTTACTAATTTACAAGATGAATACTATTCGTTAATGTTTCTTATCGTCGATAATAATATCAGCGATAGTACGCGATAGTTACGAAATTTCTTAACCGTGTATTACATATGCGAAATTGTAAGTTACAAGTCGCCGGCGACGGGTGTGCTAACAAATGCAATCGCAGCCGGCGCGATAATTCGCGATCGAGTTAAGCGTAACCAAGTGCTACAGAACGTGATGTTTCCAGGTGTCGTCATCGCGTCATCGTGCTGGCCTTAACGAGGCGCAGTTAGCGTCGGCATCGTTAGGGAGCGTGGAACGCGAGTGGACTGGTGCTTCCAAATCCTCGAAATTATCGCCGCGATTCCTAGCACCCTTGGTGTATAGTGAGAACAGTGGTTCGTCGTTCGTGTCCACCTCTTCTCGATAATTCGTCCTCGCATCTCGAAGAAGGGAAGCACGTAAACGATCGTGAGTACGCGAACGTGCTTCCTTAAAGTGAACCTTACGCGCGGATATGCGCCGTTAATGAAAGAATCTGGCGTGATTGCTCGAGGAGACGATCGAAGCGTCCTTTCGTGGCTGGTAGCCGCGAGAATAGCGAACCAAGCTAACGAAAAAGGGGCAAGTAGAAAGGAGGGAAGAAGAAATCGAGCAGAGAAGGGTGAGTGCATCGACGACAATAACAGAGTAGAAGGTAATTATTCAGAACAGGATACGATGAGAATACGACGAGGAATATATTACGAAGCTCGTGATTCTGAGTAACGTTTTCCTATGAATATAATCGTCGTTCGGTTTTAGTTTTCAAGATACACAGTGATTCACGTTCGATGTTACGTGCTATACGTGATGGTATTGAAGATAAATTGGTTTATACGTTGAAAGGTATAAATCGGTGAAAAACTATACCTCTGTTCAGAATAATTACCCGCTAGGATAAAGGAACGTAGATCTATGCTTTGGGTACATTCGTTAGCGGTTCCTCCGCGATTCGATAATACTGATTTACATATTTGCCGATAATGCCGCGTATTTCGACGTACCGCGTTAGAGGTGTAATCACGCGTGTAATTCTTGTCCGTACGTGCAGCCAGCGACGCTTATAATGGTAAGGTATTACCGGAAATCCGTCTTAAATCTCTTGTAATTAAATCTTGAATGTAGCGAGCATCATCGCGCCACACAGACCGGCATCGATGTTTCAGATAACGCGTCCGTTAGTTTGCTTTTCTCGGGATAACAGGTCGGCTTTGTCGAAGCCTAAAATGTGCCTTCAGTTTTGAACATTGTGTACATTATCGGCGCGATTCGCTATTATTAAGCGGCGATGAATTATCCTTGTCGGATTAATAGAACTTTATATGCAAATTTAATGGACTTCGTTCTTTTCTCTACGAACGCGTTTTCTAATTTTCTCGATGAAAATAATCGTAACGTGAAAATACCGTATTACAGATATTTCCGTCAATTTTGTTTGTAAAGCGTGAGACACTTTCAACGAGGAATTAAATTTAGAGTAACCGTATAATTTTATTAGAATCGTATACACATCGGTAGGTATAGGCAAATATAGGAAGTAAAATCTGTTCGTCCGAAGCTTGATGTTTGGAATAAAAATCCATTTGCACATTGCTGTAGAACAAATTAATTAATGGATATTCGATTTTATTTAGAAATAGCTAATAGCGTGCTGTGTATCGATACCTAGGAAATACTAATGATATTAGCAATATAGCAAATGGACAGATTGTGTACTCTGTGGCCGTACAATTGGCTGTGTACAACCAATTGTTTTTCTCGCTACAATTCGAGGTCTTTGTGACCAGAAATACACAACGTTCGGATGAATACAATTGAAACTGTTTATTTCGAACGGTTCCTACGATATTTCGGATAATTGCTTTCCTCGTAACATATTGCACGCGCCTTTATTTCTCTTCGAGATTAATGAAGTCTATCGTGGAGGATATCGTCGTTTTATTTTCTCTCTATCGTTATATCCAGATAAATATACCGCGCTTCACTATATTTTAATAACGCGGCTGTATTCGAAAGTACAGTTTACGAAAATCATGTGTTCGAGAATTAACTGTACCCTGTTGAGTTCTTTATGATTTCGTGACACGTAGGTGGATAATTTAAAAATATTTTGATCAGATCGAGGAAAAGGACGCGTTCAAGGGTGAACTCGTAGCTTGGTATAGCCTTCTGAATGCATTAGCGCGAGAAAACGAGTACGTGTGTCGATGTGTACACGCGAACGGTTAGGAAAGCGGCTTAGCCTCTTCTAAGAAATGCCATAGCTGGGGTAAGGTGAAAATGGGTCAAGGAGTTTCTGCATAAGAAAGCTAATTCCACGGCTGTCGCCGAGCACGCCTCGTAAAAACATCCCACTTTTCAATGATAAATTATCCTTGACTGTAAATTTATTCTTTGGCGTTCTTCGATCGGCTAATTTTTATTTTTTCCAAACTAGTTTACCGATTACGTACAGTTTACAGTGCACAGGTGCGACGTGTAATTCATGTTGTCGATGAAGTAGCGCGATTAACATAAATGGGTCCCATTTACGACTACGGTCATTTATTTTGGGCCCGATCGCAAACAAAAACACGCACGATGGAGGTTCGTTCGATGGAGATTTATGGCTCGCGAGTCACGTATTGTTCCCCTAATGCGAAAACGTACACTGGCTCGCAATTGATTTACCGAATATCGCTGCCAGCATTTCGGTCAACGGGGCTGTACACAATCTGACGGTGTGCTGGTACACGATCGTAGGCGTTTCTTAGCTCCAGACAAATCACTATAACGTGTAGTGCGATAGACCGTGATAGGGAACGATCTGTTTCCTTAGTACTCGATGTGGCGGCATTTACTTTACGCAGTTGGAAATTTACTAGCTGATAATTGCTATTATTGGCACGAATCTCGGATAATTGATGGAGGAAAAGCAAAGTAAACGTTAAATATTTCTAATTCATGTAGGAATATTATATTATTAGTTTGTAGGTAGCAGTATGATTTATGCAATATCGCTTGCACTCATACGAAATCGAATATAATACCCCGTTTCACGTATTCGTTACTCACTACTTCTACGACACAACAACGCAACGATCTTCACACGACAACGATAAATTCAACTCTGACTCTCTCGACTCTCGTTACGATGTCTTCCACGCTCGCTTTTTTCCTAAACATACCTTGGTAACGCTCGCGACACTCTTTGACAACGTCAACGTATCTTGACAACGCTAATAAACAATTACCTCTCGCGCCACGTCCTTCCCTGATGTCACGCTATCCCACATTTATGATATAATTATTTAGACGTTGTATAGTGTAGTATCGTGGACAGATTGCCTAAGAAATATCGGGTGAGGCGTAAACGATGTCGCGAGAAAACCTAAGTGCCGACAGACCAAAAGGGTCTGGAAACTTCAACGATCCCATCAATTTATGGTCGGTCTTTCGGTCGAATAGTTACGCAGAAAAATGGCCCTACGCGATCATAATCGCGGACGGTTGCGGAACACGTACGTGGTGGGTCTATGAGAAAAGACAAAGGGATTAAGACGAATAATCCTTAAGGGAGAAAGACGAATTAACAGGCAGTCGTTAGTTGAGAAGTCAGAGTATTGTCAGCGTTGATGGTCCGCGTGAAAGAGAGCGTTGGAGCGGTTGTAACGAGAATAGTGAGTGACGAATGATGACTGCTTCATCATACTTGAAGCATCATACTTGATTTTGTGTTGTGTTGTGTTGTGTTAACGCGAACGATATTGAGACAGATCATACCGTTACCAAACCTACTAGCACTATATTTTTTCCACCATAGTATGCCCGAATACGATCACTCTATTCTTCCATTAATTTTGAATTGTAAGAATTATATATGTCGGAGATGAAAGGACATTGGGGCTTCCCTTTTGGAATGTTGGGAAAACCCCCAATACCCTAGCCCAGACTTTTACTATAGCTACGCTTAAGTAACAAAACTAAGAAATAGTTGTGATATTCTAATTCGATTTTACGACGATGGGCCTGGGCTCGAAGTGACATAACGGGTCACTGAACGTAGCCACGGTTACGGGAGGGATGTGTACCTAACAGAGGTATGGAATAATTATATAGCTCTCCTTAAAAACAAAGGTCGACCCGAGAGGTGGGGAAAGGACTATATAAGGGCAGTTCCACTTGGACTGCAAGTTAGTTCATTCAGATAAGTTTTACTTGTACATTGAGTCATACGTGTATCACATCGCATTCGTCATCTCGTTGACCGTGGATTCGTTATCGAACCTGAATTGTCGTCGACATCTCGACCATCCGATTATCACGTGAACTTGAGGGTCTGGTGTCACGTAATTTTTGGGGTTGGTTGATGAAATAAAATAGCTGAGTCGTAACACACCTATTAATTTTGTTTTAATTAAACTTTATTACGAATTCAGCAATCACAACGGAATACACACTGAATTAACATAAATCACAATTCACTCCAACCACGTTATGTAAGACTTAGTTACAACGATACGTTAAGTACGCGACTGTTATAATGATATGTTGACTATTCTAAGCATACAGAATAAGTGAAGTTTTACCGACGATACCGTGTCTGAAGAAAGCTAGGGGTGGGTGTGTCTAAGGACACGGGACTATCGGATTTGTTGATGACAATTTTGGTTAGGAAAGTGAGGGGCGTTTCCGATTGGATAATAAGAAGGTTGGTGGACCAGGAAGGGTTTTAGCCGCCCTCGTGAGAAAGTTGCTAACGGAACATACCAAACGCGAGGAAAACTAACTTTCCGCGTTAACTCGTAGTAAACGATAAACGTAAAAGGAAACCTAAGACAAGAGATACTCGCTTGGTCCGAAGGACCTTAACTATGAAAATTCTAAGACATCTGAGCGCCATCCTGCCCGCGGTGTGTGACCTGGTCTCTGATGTTAATTACACGATTGCCGTTATTATTTGTAGCCTCTTGCAATAACCATATTTGTGCCAATAAATATCAGCTATAATTCACGATGGTAAATTCGTGCGAAGGTTCGTCAAACGCTCAAAATTCCAACCTTAACCCGACATATATAATTATACACAATTTTTATAGTGACGGAACAAAGTGAATGCAGCGTTTTATTTGTCATCTGTGATCGCATAGTTGGCGATAAGTTTGCAACGCTACGTAATTTTCGGAGCAGTTTACTTGGCTGACGGCTGTGTTTTGCGTCTCGAGGATATCGCTGCCATCGTAGATAACGCATAGCAATTGTGTATTCTCTAAGTAGACCAAGTAGACTAGAATTATATGTATAGCGCTACAACACGATAGATGCACTTTGGTAGAAGTAGTAGGTTTGTGTATAAGCGAAAGCAGTTGCAAGGTGCGCAGGAAAGGGACCGAATACTTAATGCCACCGCTGTCGTTTCGAACAATTCGCGATAAGGTTACTTTGAGAGCTCTATAGTCATTGATTTTCTCCAGAAACTTTGTCTAATACGGCTAGAATGTTAGAGCATTTCGACGGTAAGCGTTTTGAGGCATTAGGTCTAGTATCGCTATTGTTTCCGACGTTATCCTGTTGCTGCGCATGGTTTCTAAAGGCTTTCATGGACGACGCATTCCTGAATATTGCATCGCTGCTTCGAATTTC